ATTCAAGCCTTTGAAACATTCTCATAGAAGCGGCCACACTTCATACTTCTATAGGTGACCTCCTATTAAGAGTACTCGTCATACCCCACTTAGATAAATTCAAGATATAGGAATCATTAAAAGTATAATTTAACTTAAAATTTTCTACAGATAGCACTTTCTTATCGTAGGAATGGGTAGGAGTTAACTTCGAAGTGCTTCTTTGAATCTTCACAACTTCGTTGTCCCATTGAACCAAGATTTTTGGATCTCCAGTCAGCAAGGTTGGGTTACCATTACAAAAATTCTTCCTAGTAGGCTTTAAGCCCATTCCCCTTGATATGCAGTATACTTGATCTCTTGGTAAACCTTTGGTAAGTGGATCTGCGAGATTTTCTCTAAACTTTACATAACTATAGAAATAACACCATTTGAGATCAGCTGCTTAATTGTATTATGTCTCCGACGAATATATCAAGACTTACCATTATACATACTACTTTGTGCTCTACCGATAGTCGACTGACTATCACAATGTATACTAATTGTAGGCACAGGTTTAGGCCAATATGGAATATTCTCTAAAAAATTTCGAAGTCGTTATGCTTCCTCTTGAGCTTTATCTAAAGTTATGAACTCGGATTTCATCGTGGATCGAGTTATACATGTTTGTTTAGAGGATTTCCAAGATACGACCGCACCATCAGTGGTAAAAACATACCCACTAGTGGATTTGAGTCTTTTGTATCTAATATCCAATTAACATCACTGTGTCCTTCTAATACAGTTGGATATCTAGTATCATGTAATCCACTATTTGAGGTGTATCGTAGATATCTAAGAACCCTTATCAGTGTCTTCCAATAGTCATTATTTGGGTTACTTGTATATCTACTAAGTTTGTTCACTGTATATGCAATATCCGGAAGAGTGCAGTTTGTAATATACATTAGACTGCCTATTATCCGAAAGCACTCTAATTGAAATACGAGTTTGCTTTTATGTTTGGCCAAATATAGACTTAAGTCTACGAGTGTTTTAAATGTACTTTTATCATATATATAAAATTTCTTAAGTACAGTTTCAATATAGTGAGATTGAGATAAGACAAGTCACTCAAATGTTTTAAGAATTTTAATTCCTAATATTACATCTGCAATACTCATATCTTTCATGTCAAAATGTTTTACTAACATTTTCTTAGTATTTGTTATGATATCATAATTACTACTCATAATTAGCATATCATCAACATATAGACATACGATTATATATGCAGTAGGTGTGTTTTTAATATAAACACATTTATCACGCTCATTAATTTTAAAACCATTTGACAATGTAGTTTTGTCAAATTTTGCATGTCATTGTTTTGGCACTTGCTGTAGTCCATATAACGACTTAACAACCCTACACACATTTTTCTCCTATCCAGGAGCAATGAACCTGTAGCGCCCCGAGTTCTGTA